CTTGGTTATCACCTTGTGAAGAAGACTCTGTTCTTGAAAGACTTGACCTTCATAAAGAATGCTAAATGAGCTGACCTCATTGCTGACTCTGCTTTAAGAAGGAGGTGGGTCTACAGACCTCTTGATATCCCTTCCAACTTGAAYTACCCTGTGAACCTAGATGTACCATCAGCAGCATCTGGTTAACCCTAAAGGAAGTTAATGGAAGGTCAAACTTTCTCTGAAGATGGCATTTGGAACAGGGGAAGGAATCTAAATTTAGGCAAAGCTTTATTTTCATATCTAGCAAGAAGATATGAGAAAGCCAGATAGAACTGCAAAGGGAGAGAGCAGTATGTCCTTATGGTCTTTATAAAGACCACTACCCCCTCTGACTTTTTTGAAACCAAAGAAACCTTCAGAGAAAAAGTTGTTCATGATTCCTGYCACTACAGTATTGCCACCACTCTTCCAAGCAGCAGAAAGGATTCTGATTGAGACAAGTTTATCCAGTGAGTATCTTCTTGTAGTAAAGCACGTTCATCTTGCAAAGTGATGAATGAATTCCTGGAGCTGTAAAGGTCAGCTGCATCATCCTGAGGAAGAAGTTGTAAGGACAGAGCCCAGCACTGTCCTTGGGATAGTCCAAATCCAGCAATCTGCTGGATTTRCCAGGTTTTAATACAGAAATGAAATAGTTCTTTCTATATTCTGATCTACTTATTGAATAAAAAGGTCTCTGCTTGTCAGTGACCATAGGATCCATCCACGTAAATAAACACACAAGCAGACTGGACTGAAAAAAGGATTGTTTTAAACCTCCATCCAAGGAAATCTGCAGAGCTGATTCAATGGATTTCAATACTAGAGGGTATTTTTTTTTTAACTGGCACTAATTTAAAAAAAAAGAAAAAAGGCAAAGCATAGAAGAAAATAACTTGCTGTTTTAGAGCCAAGGATACCGAGGGCTGAAGAGATGGCCCAGGTTTGTTCTTTGGTGTCACTTGCATTTTAAACTGCAATACAGAGGCTATGTCAGGAATTCATTACCCAGTATAAAGCCAAGGAAATTGCTCAGTCCCCAGCCCATAGTGTCTGGCAGTGCCAGACGTGAACAGAAAAAGATACCCCTTTGGGTACTTTGAGAGAGGACCCAAGCCAGGCTTGGTATCTCCAAATGTGAGAATGTAGCTCCACTATGAAGCATAAAGCTGTCAGTGTTCAGAAACCACATGATCTTGGAGTTTCAATTACAAACCTCACTTCCAGCAGCAAAGTAAAATAACAGCAAGCTGCCTACTTCACTGTGCAAGAGAGTTTTGCTCTGAGAGAAGGAAATGCAGTGTCAGACTCCAGTATAATCACAGTGAGGAAATGGTGCTCTTATGAAGTTCTAGCCTCCTGTGTCACATCTAAGGTACTCTCTGATACTATTAGCACAATAAATTACTGTTACTTCGATTCTGCCTAAACCCAAAGTGAGTTCTGCTTTCTCTTCAGCACGGGAGTAAGGAGTTTCAAGGGAATATCGGATGCACGTTTTGCTTAAGTACAGGCAATGACATCAACCCTCACAAGATACTGTTTGCATACTCTGTAGTGAGCACTACAATTGATCCTTATATTTGCAATGCTTCTGTAGCCAAGGAAATATTTTCTTTAATGCTAAGAGACCAGCAGAAAGTTTCAACTTTAGGAAATCTGTCCAGCAGCTGAAATAGAGCTSTTTATCATGCTGCTACTTCTCTTCATCCTCTTTTGGGATCACTGGTGCTGAGCTGGAAGTGAAGCCAGGTTCTTTTCCCCGCCAATAGGAATAAAGTCAGGTTGCTGCCAACGCGATAGGGAGGTGGCTGTACAGAGCAAAGCTTGCCAGGCAGGCTTTTATAACACTTCCTCTCTTATCTTCAGCATGGCTCATAAGGCAACCAGCAGTTACTATGATACCCAGGCATACAATGACCCCCATGGCCCCAGAATAATGCAGGCAGATCACGACTCCTGCAAATTATGAAGTGCTAAAGCTGGAGGCAATGCTGGCCAGAGGCAGCACCATTTAACTACACTAGCCCTGTTCCTGTAACTACCTAAATTGTAATCCTCATTATTCTGGAAAAGATTGCTCCCTGGTAGCAGGCATCGATTYAGTTCCATTGTGTACCAGTGAAAAACAGATGCCAGCTAGGAAGATAGATAAATCTATTTTTGTATATTTAGGTCAATTGTCCTTTGAATAGACATATCTAGAGAACAGAGAATAGGATATTTTTTTTTTTCTATTCCATATTCAGCTCTCAGTATTTTTCTGTTTTAATTGTAATTTTTGTATTGCTTTATTGTGATTTAAGAATATGAAATAGTGAGATGAGGTTACGCAGAATGCGCCAAATTCCAGGATGAAAGAGTCCACCATGTTTTTTGGTGTTTTTTTGAAGTTAAATGGTTATCACACTGTTACATCTTTCAGGTCACACATTGTACATTTAGAGTAGTACCAGTTACAGCGGACTGATGTAACCTGGCTATCTACTGCAGGATTGAATATTTAAAGACAGCACAAGAACTGGTTCCAACAAAAACACTGGGAAAAGAAAGACTGGGCTGGTGCAATTGCTGACAAGTACTGGAACAACTTAGCTCATGCTCAGATTTCAGAAATGCAATTAATTAATCACTGCTAAGTATCCTAAAATCAAGTGAGCCATATCCCAGCTAATAGTCTACAATATAATGTTCACAGCACGTAASTATCAGGCAATGAAGATGCTCATTACAGTGCCAGAAATAATATTTCCAGCAAAATATTATATATAAAGATGAAGTAATTATATGGCATGGCAACAAAAAGAGCTGTATAGATTACAGCTGAGCTGAAAATCTGTAAGAATCTATTTCCAAAAAATACTTTCCAAAGTATTAGAGACATACAAGCCATAAAGGATTAGACATATTTCTTCACTTCATATCACTAAGGGATATATCTTGCCTTTCATATATAWATCCAATATACACAAACTATATATAATTACATTGCAACCAAGATAGCAGACAAAAATGCACAAATGGAAAACAACATCCTTTGTTCTTCTTCAGGAGAAGGCAGTTTGTAAAACACTATTTGCAATACATGTTAAAAATACCACAAAAGCCCTTTCAGATCCCAGTTTTACAAGCTGCCTATTCCCTTAGCTATATACAATGGAGCAATCAAAATCAGAAATYAGACTCACATTTAAAAATGTAGTTGGAAAAATGCCTTAAATAAAGAAAGAAGTCCAAAGCCAAAGCCCACAGTGACTTCAGTAGAGAGCAAGAACTGACCATTATGACACAAAATGAAACAACACAGTGGCATGTTTGCTCCTATTTACACCATGCTGCAGGACTTAAAGTGTCACTGAAAATCCATTTAAATTAACAACTCCACAGTCATCACTTTTGCAGACAGTAATGAACCTTAAGTGAACCTGTGTGGGCGTATTCAAAATTGTTTCTTTTTTGGAGTACCTTTGTAACTCTGAACTAGATATTATAATGGCTATTGACTTGCTCAAACTTAGATTATTAGGCTAGATTTTCAGCTGGTTGAACTGGCATTGTTCCAGTGATGTCCATTTACACCAAATGGCTCATTATTAATTCAAGGTCTTATTTGCTCCTTAATGAATACTTCCACTAGTCACCTTCCCAACGGCAGGTTTAAATGCTCAAACTTTACCTCCATGGTCAGAATCATCATACTCAAGAATTTAGTTATCCAAAAAATAATGCTTTTTCTCTCCTTTTATGAGGCATATTTACGGTAAACTTTTTAAATCATTTACAAAACAAACTAAAATACCTCCTGTGCCATAATTAACTAACTAGAATTATGCTTTCATACAGCATAATTTGCATATAAATATAAAAACTGTATAGCCCTAAGGGGGCATTACAAATGAAACAAAATAAGAACAGAATTAAAAAGCTAAAGGGACAACAYAGCCCTCCATGACAAGCCTATTTTACAGTCTTGTCCTTTTTCTTWCTTACTGTTATTTCTGCCTGTACCAATTCATACATATTTTCCCTCTCTGCTATTTTAAGATACTACATATATTTTAAAATTTTTATTTGTTTGGTCTTTTCAATTCTACAATCCTACCGYTGCGTTTTGAAACAAATCAGGATGCAAAGATGTCACTAAGTTTGTGCATCTTTGTTTAATATATTACASAGGTCAGAAACACAATTAATAAAAATTACAACAGTCTTGTTTCCTAAACCAAGCAACACACAAATTTTCAAAAGGATTTTAAAAAATCCAAATTTTACATTTTTTAACCAGATCTCATTACTTACTTTAATTGAATAGTTCACTGTCAAATATGCRAAGGACAGCAACCACTGTTTTTGATTACTGTTGTTACTAGTATTAAGAAATTTAGTTTAAAAGCTTAAAAAATATTTAGGAACTCAATGAAGCTGAAATATCTCACTGAGAGCCTAAGGAACCATAATGGTAGACTCAGTAGATCTGCTGTGTGGGAGGTACAAAACTTTATTCTACACTGCTGCTGCATGGGAAAATATCCTTAAAATGGGCTATACAAAAATTTATGTGCTCAGTGAGATCAACTGGTGTCCCACAAGACTGGCATCTCACTCTGAAATTTCTAGTTAACAGGAGTACCCAAATAACACTGGAGCAAATCAAAATGCAAATATCTATTTAAAAATATTTTCTAGAATTGGGGTTTCTTTATTCTGAGTACCTCTTAATGTAAACTTTCAACTAACTATCTTGCCCCAAACATTTTCAATTTGGTCGTGCCTAAAAGCCACAAATAAGACACAATAAGAGTTAAACAAACATTAGGAAATGGTTTTCACTGTGGAAAGCTTATAATAAACCYGAGGAACAAAGCTTTGTGATTAGGCAAGTACTGACTTTCCTTAACAGGTGAACAAGCCACTTAAGATGCTTTGATACCACCAAGAAATTGCCCRTCAAATATACCTTAGAATATCATATTACATACCTGGAATAAATTCCACTGACCATGTCATGCTGRAAAGAGAGTTCTGTTGTGCTGGGTCCAGCAGCTTTGGAGATAAGCAGTATGACCAAACCTCGCATCTGTAAATTGTTTCGGCTGTCATACACAAAACCCCTAAAAAAAGAAGGAAAAACAAAGTTTATTTCCACAACCCATGCTCACTGGTTGTACTAAAGTGAAAGAAAAAGACTTAGACCTCAGGCTGCCATCCCTTCATCAAGTCTTTAATATTCATGTTTGAGGGAAATAAGTTGCAATTATGAATCATGATCTTTTGTCATCCTTTACCTGACACTTACATTGAAATCCTACTATTGCAGAGAAAAACAGGTATTTAGGATTGAATTAAATCTTGATTATTTTCAAAGAGCAGCATGTCTCTTGCATTTCACATCATGTCATGACAGGAGTATTTCAGAATAATTCAATGTAATCTACTGTAACAGCAATGTAAAAGCTTTCAGTTTCTTGTCTGAAGTGAAAAAAAGCCAAATAAGCCTCCTTCTTCATGAGAAGAAAGGCAAAGGAGGAAAGGTACAACTGAAATCTATAACCTGCTGAAAGAAAACTGYTTAATGTTTGTGAACAAAGGGCACAGTGCATAGAACAGGTCTAACAACAGCAGGAGAATAATGAAAATGCAGAAACTGATGAAAGATGTACAATAAAAGTGAGAGATAAATGAAGCAGAGATGAGCTGATTTAAACAAAGGAATTGTTTCAAATGCTACAACTTTAAATTTGGGAAGGAAACTGTCCCCAAAATCATATTTGTTGGGAGCAATTCCAAAAGACCCTTTAGAAATACCACCTCAAAAAATAATTTATTTTCAAGTGAGTTTGGCTTTCCTTTTTGACTGCAATGTCTCCAATTGTATTCTTCCTGTCCTTGTCAAACTTGCTTTCTACTTCCTACATTCATCAATACAGCTAAATAGCTAGACAAAAGGATAATACATTCCAGATGCTATTAAATTTGTAAACTAATTTCCAATAAGCAAGAGCCCATATCTCTGATATCATATAAATGATTGTTAATAAATCATACAAAGAATTACATCATAAATTACTAAGCACTTGAACTCATTTTAYCCCAGAGTATAATTTTACCCCCAAGAACTGAAGGAAATCAAAACAAAACTGTCTTTAAAACAGCTGAACAAAAAAAAAAATCCAAGATATTGATATTGCAACTATGTCTGAATAAAGAATAAAGGAAACAGTGGATGCAAAGTGAGGTTTCATTTGGACTTTTTTCATTACATGTACACTTCACAATGCAAGAGTATCTTCTGCACATTGCTTCATTTACACRGACACAAAAACATGAAGAAAAATAATTTAAATAGCAACTTTCTTTGTGGAAGTTCCTGTGCTACTGCAAATAAAATCTTGACTTTTTGAGTGTTTCCATCCTATTTTACAGTGATGGGGAATTAGTCTGAACTGTGCTCAGAGGAGAAAGAGCAGGTCCACCCAGGTAGCTGGTGCTAGTCCACCTCTGGGATTGATCTTCACACTCTCACACACCCGATTGTAGGTTAATACTTCTCCCTCCAGAGATGCCTAAGGTCCCTCTCAGGGTAGCTACACCCTACGAATGCCATGATCAATTAGGATTAAAGGAGGCCAATATGGCCTTTTACCACAACCCACAACGCTTTTAGCTCTGGTGAGATCTAACTAGCCAAATGAGGCCATGACTTCTGTGCTTTTTTAATCTCTCCACATCCTATTTGCTGCACCTGCAGACTGAAAGGCTGGCCCACCCTGCATAGGTCACAAGTGCCCGGTGAGCCTGGCAGCTCAGGACACCCCATGCTCACAGAAGCCCTGACCATAAAAAGCAGTAGAAGGGAGATWCTATACAACTTYCCAAAYKAGAAWTTWTTTTTTTTTTAGTTCAGTACTCCCCAGCCACTCAAAYACATGAAAGCTCAGATCTCTACTCAAGGGCACACACACCGTGGTGTTGTAACATGCACCTTTATTTTTTTTACGTAGCTTTTGGCTACATGCAGTGAGGGATTTTAAGGAGGAAGGGGATAGGACTTACCTTCAGCCCCTTTCATGAATTTCTAACCTGCATATCTCTATTCTCACCAAGCACACAAATATATAATGTGTTTCTTACCATGCTCCAATATACAGTTAGCAGAATGCAGCTGAGACAATAATACACTTAGAACTATACAGATTTCCAAAGTCAGAGCCACAATGAACATCAAACTACCCAGGAAAAATACAGAAAAWTCATATAATGAATAATACATAGTGTGTATACTTCCTGTATACAGAATTCATAATTGTTTGTGGTRGTGTAAGTACTTCTCTGGCTTGAACCTCAGTTGACCACATTACTCACAACCACAGAAGTTACACAGATGATGCAACTGAATTCAAACATATTTCCTCAACACTATTCAAAACTCTATCACTTTTAAAGAAAAGTGGTTTTAGAAAAAAAAATGCTTTTTTCCATGTATGTATTCTGGTAAAACCAGAGCGTCTTACTAAAGGTGGGATCTCATGAGAAATGAATAATGGTTAAAAACATTATAGTGATACTTTTAACAATAAGAACACTGGTTTTTCATGCCCAGTGCCCTACAGCTTGTCAAGGGACAGGATGTTACAAAAGTAGAGAAAAAAAGTGTTCATCCCAGGAACATGGGGCACTGGCCTTTAACTAAACCGTTGCCTGGACAGACACTAGAAGTGAAGCACTTTTACCTGATTCAGACTAGGTGAAGAAGAAAAGAAAATTACCTGCGTTGAAAATACTCAGTTCTGTTGCAAAAACAAATGATCAGGGCTGTTCAGGGTGTTTGYAACACCATTAGCAATGAATACCTTACTTTCTTAGCAGAAAACTGTTAATGAAAAGTGCAGCTGTGGGTAGGGGGAAGAACAGAACATAAAAATCAAGTAATAAAGAAGCAACATRTCTGTCATTTCTACACCTAATCATACAGCCTCTGTGTTACATATGGTTTGGATGTGATTTTAGACAGGATTTCTATGAATTACCAAACCAGCAGTCAAAGTTTAACTCCATTTTCAAAACATGCTGTGTTACTGACACGTAACATACCCACACTAAAGCAAACCGAATTAGACTTCAAACAAATAAAGCCTCCGGTGATCATCCTTTAGACACTGGAAACTACTGCAGCTACTTGACATGGCTTCAGGGGTCACATTCACATTCTGAATTAAGCTCCCCAGGGACAACCTGCAACAGTAACAGCAACACAAAAGTCTTCCAGATGGTGCAATTAGTCTTGATGGGTATGTGGCAGGAGACAGGTGCCTCCAGGGAAAAAAGTGAACTAAAAGCAACCCAAGTGAAATTGTGCACACAAAAAAAAGATACATCAAGCTGACACTCTTTTAGAAAAACCTCTGCTGAACACCACAAGTGCATGCATAGGGTACTCAAAACCCCCCTCAATCATTAGCACAATTTTGCTTCCTGTTAAGTTTACAGGCTGGATATCTGCAAATGACATCCTTCATCTCGGGGGACTGCATACCGAAAGAAGGCAGGAAAGTCAAATACCCCTACAATTCCGTTTTGTAATTCAGAATTTGGGGGAGGGAAGGAAAAGCCATTTACTCTAGATATTATCCGTGTGACAGAGTAACCCAGTTGAAAACTGGCAGATTCACAGTTTYAAATACAGCACAGTGTTCACAAAAAAAAATTCATCTTAGAGCACAGGGGAGAAGCGCCTGGCTCCGACACATGCGCGGTGTGACACTGCACACGCACGGGAGACTCACACCACCCACTCAGGCAGTGACACYGGCTAATAGCTAATGTGCTGCAAATTACACCTCCTACTACCACAGTCCGTCTGCTGCAGAGAATAAATCAGGCAAACGTTTCACTTAGTGCTTTGTGTATTGCTCCACACGTGCAGCTATTTCAGTAGAATTTTAACCTCCAACAACTGTCAGGTTTAACTCCATCGGTAATTTACACTTTGATTAAAATAAAAATCTGCTATTCTTTGCAAGCACCATTTGTATTTAAGTATTTAAATAYCACAAAGGTTTAAAATTATTTGCATGAGACAAAACCACGTTCCTAGCACTTCTTTTCATTATATTAAAGTGTGAATTTAAACAATAAAGAGGAAACATCGCAACTAAAACAGTTACTGTAAGGAAGAGCTGGAAATGGGGCTAATTTCATGGTACCAAAAGGCAGCAAAAAACAACCTGCACAGGCAACTCGAAGCCAATTGACTCTGCAAGTGGGTGTAGCAGAAAAGACCACACTTATGGGTACTAGCGCTAATTCAAATTTAATTAATTATGAAGAATGCAGAACAAATTTTACAACAAAACTGATGTGATAAGGTGTTTTAGAAGAGACAAAAAGGGATTATTAAATGTTTGGATAAACGTTGTTACTACTTCCCAAATGTTCTGCTCACGACTGAAGCAAGCAGGAGCTGTGCAGGGAGCAGCCCTTTCATCAGTTACCCCACAGGAGCCCCTCCAGCCCCACCCCAGAGTGTTTGGTGGCCACAGCACTGCTGGTAGGGGCTGAAGTGGATGGATCACTGTCCTTCTCACCTCCTCCGGTAATTTTTGCCCTTCCTTTCCATGCATTCTATCGAAGGCATCCCACTGACAAGATTAATCATTTTGTTTCAGGCCATACACAAGCCCCGTGTAGTTACAAGGGGAAGGAAAACAGAGAGGAATTCCATTCCTTTACCTTCCCTGTTCAGCTGTCAAACAAAAGGAGGGGGGAAAGAATGGCCTGTTCACMCAGCTCTAATAAAAAGCAGCTGTGAAAGTCTGTAACACAACCAAAATCAATTACATTGATGAAGAAGATTTATAAGCATAGGATAGAGTCATTGAAAGCACAGGCTAGTTTTAGGCTGAATTAGAAACTATTCTGAAAAAGAAATCCCTATATTCAAACTGACAATTCCAAATGYGACAATTGATAGAGTTTTTAAATCTGTGGCATCTCAGGAAAGTACCTTCAATTTTGCTCAATATAGAAGGGTTATCAGGAAGCACTCACRTTACAGGTTCAGGTACATTTAAAAATAACACAACTCACTTTTTTGAAATTAATTATAACTGAC